TATATATATATATATATTAGTGTATTACCAATGATTTAAGCAGATTGGTTATTGTTTTTTAATATTTTTTCTTAGACACAGCTATGCTAGAATCATTTACTCTTCGTGGATGAGAGATACTAAGGTGCTATTTCAAAACGGCGAATTTTATAAACTCAAGGGTCACTATTCTCCATTTTAGGAGATGGTGAATCATAAATGTGATTTTTTTTCTGTTTTGTGACGAATATCAGCAGTGTATATGGTAAATGTTGGTCGATACTCAACAATATTTGATAGGTATCGGCTGAAAAGGTACATAAATTGGTTAGAAGGTATATTGGTATTTTTGGTTGGGTGGCTAGGTAGGTTGGATTGAAAGGTAGATAGGTTTAATAGGGTAGGTAGATAAATAGGTTAGTAGGTATATTGGCATGTTTGGATGGATGTTTAGGTTTGGTAGGTTGTTAGGTAGATCGATTTTTAAGGGATGTCGGCTGAGTAGGTAGACAGATAGATTAGTAGGTATATTGATATGTTTGGGCGGGAAGGTTAGGCAGGGTGGGTTGATAGGTAATATGTGTTAGAGGGTGGTCGGCTGGGAATGTAGATAGATAGGTTAGTAGGTAAATGGGTATGCTTGGGTGGGTGATTAGGTTTGGTGGGTTGATAGGTAGATAAGTTTTGTAGGGTGGTTGGCAAGGTAGGTAGATAGATAGGTTAGTAGGTAAATTGATATGCTTGAGTGGATGGTTAGGTTTGGTGGGTTAATAGGTAGATAGGTTTAATAGGTTGGTCGGCTGGGTAGGTATACAGTTAGGTTAGGAGGTAGATTTGTAATGTTTAGGTAGGTTGGGTTGATAGGTAAATAGGTTTTATAGGTTGGTCGGCTGGGTAGGTAGATAAATAGGTTAGTAGGTAGATTCGTATGTTTGGGTGGGTGGTTAGGTAGGCAGGTATATAGGTATATAGGTATATAGGTAGACATAGTTGCATTGAATATTTGGATTGTCACTGTTTTTTTTTTATAACAGATTGGGATTGATTTTGAATAAATTCAAAAAAGCAAAAAAATAAAAAATAAATGTGAAATGCCTTTTAATGATTTGTTGCCACTTAATATTTATATATCGTGGTCATCACACCATTTAAAATAAATCACACGTAGCATCATATAACAATTGTAAAATGTATAACGGATAAGCTAGGATATCGTGACATTGCTGATTAGCTTGTATTGCAGTCGCACGCCATCAATGTCGAATTAAACACCAAATCTGCTGGACACCAGTACAAGAAGGCTGTGCCATGTGAACACTTGTAGAAGGTTCTGGGGTTTCTGGGATTTTCGTATGGTCCGTCAAGTGGTTTCATGCTGCAGTCATTGTGAGCCATTTGTGAAACCGGTCAGCGTGTCATTTATTGCAGTAAGTAGAGGAGATTTGGTTGCAGATCCGCACGTCTGTTGAAAGTCATCCATCGCATTCTTACTAACCTTTTGCTTTTAAAGGCAGAATTTCATTCAGATGCTTCTTATATGGTCGAAACAATCGGAATGTAATGAATCATATATTGACTCTTTTTGCGTTAAACATTAAAAAATGTGTATTTTCTCATTTTGCATAAAAATACTGAAACTATGACGTCTAACTTAAAAAAACCCACTTCTGTCAAATTCAAGATCTTTAGTTAAATGAAATAGGTATAATTCAGAACCGAATCAGAAAATTCGGAGGAGGACCAATTTAAAAAATAATGTTGAAAAAATTCAACTTTAAAATTTTGAGATTTTGTGTTTTGTTCATCAAGGATAAAAAGGAATATACATACGATGTTTGGGAAAGGACTGTCAAGTAGAAATAGCGATAACAATTTTAAATTCAAGATGTGTACAAACTGTTTGCCATAGGTTATCCATAGGTTCAGAAAAGATGTTTTTTGAACATTTTGAATTCCGAAAACGTTTTAAGCCCCGTCCCTCAACCCCCTAGAGTTTCATCACTGTGTTTAACATAAACTCTGATCCCAACCACAGACTGGTGACTAGCATCATGTTTCATCAATTCTGACAGACTGTATTTGAATAATATTATTGGCCAAGAAAAAAACAAAAAAAACCATAGACAGAATTGCACCCGAATTTATATGTTTATTTATCTATTTATTTTTACAATTATGAGGGGCGTGGGGTAATTTAATGGTAAATAGGTTTTTACAGACTTCCTTTCAAAACACCAACCTCGTAATAAGCTAGAAAACCTTCCTCATCAGTGAAGGGCCCTGGTTGGTTTGGTCCATCAGCCCAAGCTCCGAAACCATTTTCACCAGACCATGACAGTTCAAAACCACGCCCGTACGTAGCAATACCAATATTTATCTTGTCTTTGTCGTCTCCAAGCATCTGCCAATATTTGCCTGACCATATCTGATGTTGAATAATATAATTGAAATAGAAATTCATGTCAAATAAAAAAGGTTTATGCATACACGTATTACTTCTCAATAATTCAAAGCAATGTCTAAATCTAGACTTAACATGAGTTGTCAAAAGCTGAATTATTTCAATATCTTGGAAATAATGTTCCGAATCTTGGAATTATATTTGAATACTTGTTTGTTTTTTAAGTATTAGTAATATTGAAAAACTTGCGATTTTTATTAAAAATCTTTTTATTTATATTTGTATTTGATATTTCGTGCTTTCCAGTGCTTTTTGTTTCATGTGTAGTCTGCCATAATTTGTTTAAAGCGTCATTTTTTCAAGAGTTTTTCAATATGAATCAAAGATTTTGAATATAAATAAATAATATGTTATATCAAAATATGATTATACACAGATATCACACATTTTACAAGAATAATGAGGGGGGTCTTGAAACTAAATCACGAGATGCTGGTATTCTTGATACTTGGATGATATTAGATATCTTTAGTTTATTTTTAATCACAATCATGTTCAAAACATACCATATTTATTTTACCCTCAGTTTCGGTTTCCCAAGTGAACGACTTTAATTGACTGTGATGACAGGTCGTCATGTCCCAGTATCCATGCATGTCAAACGTCTGGATACTGAGGAAATCCAAGTTTCTAAATTAACAGAAAAAAAACAACATTTTAATTACCTTAAAAGGAAACACTGCATTGCTGTTAATTGCGAATGCGAAAAGTTACTGATCTGTCGTTTTGCCCTAGACATTTTGTACTACTGTTTGCGAGTTACTTTAAAAGAAGGGTTAAATTGGCGCAAACCAATGTTATTTAAATTGATGCAAACCATATTACTTTAACTTTTTTTCGGCGCTATGAGTATTGTGAGAGGACCATTTTTGTGAATCGAAAAAACAGCGATAGGGATATATACGGATTTTCAGGGTAATTTAGTACTCTGAGAAGGAATATACCGGTCTTGGGTTGAATGATGATTGATTAATCAATCCAGCTTATATTTTAAACGGGCTTACTTTCGAGATATATTTGACTGTACGGAACCCCAGGTTTATTTTCAAAGCTGGACTTTTTTCAAATTAGGCTTATTATCGAGATGTTAGGGTTATCCAAATGTCCAAACAAATGTTGCTTCACTTGACGAAAAGTTATCTCTAGTTTTGTTTTGTTTTTTATTGTCTTCGTTGTAATAAGATGAATTCATTTTTGGCTAGTCCTAAACTCACTCTTCCCCCGCCCCATTAACTACATATCCCCGCTTAACAAAGTTAAGGTTCAGCTTTATTAAGTTTATAAAACACTTTTTGGTCAGTCATATTGCTTAGCAATAAATAAGTATTCTTAAAAAAGTGCTATATCTTGTCAAATACACAAACATATCAACATAATAGTTTTGCTGGAAAAATTTCAAAAATTCTTGTTGTGATTTCCAGTACGGCTAATAACCTTTCAGCTAGCGCAAAAAAGTCACATAACTTAATTAAATGTGATGGATAGTGATAATTTTAATTGCTGTCCTACTTTGCCAGGGCCTTAACGTCGTATGCGTAGTCAATATATTCCTGTTCCGCAGCCACTGCAGCTGTCAACAGCAGACAAGGTATGCTGTTATTTTGCGCCTCTTCTTCATATGTCCGTCTGAGTAACTGGCCGAATAAAAGATTCAAAGATAAAACAGAATATGAAGCCACGAAGATTAACATTCCATAATATAAATTAAAAGCGAATTTTCAAAAACAAAAATGAGGAGAGACACATGGTTGTATTATCTAACTACATTAATGATATATTAATCAAATACGGATTGTTAATGGGATGAGTATTTAATTATATGGATCTGAGAAAGCTATATGAACTTAGATGAAATGTAGGTCAATGTCACTATCAGGTCCACATAACTACATAAACACCAAAAAAACCAGTTAATTGTCAAATTATATATAAAGATATATTTTATCATTTACCAAAAATCCTAAATTCGCCTGGAGAATGTTCATAATGAAGAGTAGGATATATTCAAGTTCTTTTAATATAGAAAGAATTGAGAGCAATATCAGAAATTTGAAATGGGGATTGGTGATTTTTGATGTGATGAGAAAATAGGAAAAAAATACTATAATGACAAACTCTATCAGAGAAAAGTAGATTTTGGATGGGAAAAAGAAATGTATACGTACATATAATATGCAAAAAACATGATTTTAATGCTTACTTACGTCGACAAGAATTCCAAAATTCCTTTTGTCTGTTTCGGCAGCCCCTTGTCTTTGCGTTGGGTACAACCAAGCTATATCAATCCGTCAAAGCCATAAGAACGCAAAAAGTCGATATTAGAGTTGACGAAAGCCCTCCTACGTTTGGGTCTTGACACCATGTAGGAAAAACTTTCACTGGCCTGCACCCAACCACCAACAGACAGCAACACCTTAAGGTCTGTGTTATTTGTCTTCAAGGCGATGACACGTTCGTATCTGTCGTGTATCAAAATTACATCATAAGTATCACTTTAACACTGTTTAATCTATAACTCGCGAACATGTTATAAAGCAAACATTATGCTCCTTGTTTGATTCTATTTGATGCCGATTGTACAAACGAAACATAAAATGGCGAAATCGTAAATCCAGCTGAAATGTCTCCTTACAACCAAACCTATACTTTCAGTATTTTTTCTCTGAATATTTCATCATTCGTATCACCCTAAACTTGCTATACATATGTGTATCCGCCAACATATTCATCTTCATCACAAATTGATGTCCTGTAATGGTGTCAGGTTATAATGAATTAATTGAAGAGCAGTGCCCCAAAATGTTGAACCCGACATAACCTGTTCTGTTCCAAGGTTACATGTAGGTATTAATAGCATAACGCAATCTATTGAAAACAAAAGTCATTAAGTGTAAAGAAGTATATAGTGTAAATGTTACGATTGTATTGAGATTACAATCAAAAGAACCAGTGGACAATAATATTTTTTACTTCTGTGAAGCTAAAGACGGCTGATTTCCTTGATATATTTCACAAAGATGCATATTTTGAAAATAAAGTGAACTAAGTTATATATTTTCCACTACTTACTAAGCTTTATACTTTCCACAACTTACTAAGCTTTGTACTTTCCACTACTTACTAAGCCTTATACTTTCCCCAACTTAAAAAGCCNCTTTTCACTACTTACTAAGCTTTATACTTTCCACAACTTACTAAGCTTTATACTTTCCACTACTTACTAAGCTTTATACTTTCCACAACTTACCAAGCTTTATACTTTCCACAACTTACTCAGCTTTATATTTTCA